AGTGTTGATTGTATGCGTAGTTATTGCCATTTCTTTTGCGGTGTGCATGTTGAGCCTATGTCTAACCATTTCTCAACTCCAGTACGGCCTGCATGCTGAATCTTGGTTAAACCATTACTACTGAACATTAACTTTTCTGTCAACTAAAGTAGTGGTAGTCTTTGGGCTTTTTGGTCTTCATTGGCATCACACATATGGTGCTGGAGGATAGTATTTTTATAATGCCCATCAACGCTAAATGGGGGATCTTTTTCTTCGTTGCGTTCACCGACTGTTAACTTCGGAGGAAAGTTCTGGTTGTTTGTCCACTTCTGAACTCTAGTCCTTTTCCAGAAACAGAGTGTTGCATGCTCATCCTTTTCACAGATCTGACTCATTTGCCTGCAGACTGTTGGTTCCTTGCATCTCAGGCAGATGTACTCTTGACTTTAAAGGAAGCTCCCAATTAGTCAACTCTTATGACATGCTTTTAGGTAGGCAGTGGATCTATTCTTGTTTTTCCCACAGTGGGGTAGAGAACCAACAGTCTGCGTACAAATAAGCCTGATCTGTAAAATACATGTGCATGCAGAAGATTTCAAGTTCTGGAACAAGACCAAAGTCCAGAAGTGGTTGAACAACCAGAATTTTGCTTTGGACTTTACAGCCGGTGAATGCTACGAAGAGAACTGCAGACACTTACATTTTCCTTGCAGTGTCTTCTCTGTAAAAACAGCCTTCCATTTGTTGTGTCTTTATTGCTTAGTTCTCAGACCAGAGTGAGATGATCGAAATATAGAGAGTATTTGGCACAGCTACTTAACAAGTTAATTAAATATATAAATATTTTGCCATGCTTTATAGCTCATTTTGATCATGAAATTGAAAACTTGTGCATCTGTTATATTGTTTCAGCCTGATTTTCTCACCCTCTTTCAAAATGATTTTATTATTTTCCTCCCATGTTACACAACAGGGGTGATAGAAATATGTTACATTTCGTCTGTAAACCTATTATTAATTTTGTAATATTTATCATGTCTGTAATATTCATTTGAAATATAATGCCTGTGAGAAAAATGAACTGGAATGAATGTCTCCCTATCTTCCCCTCAGTTTTTTTTAGAGGAGAGCGGAAGGAAGGAAGGAAGAAAGAGAAAATGTACATAATATGAACAAATCCATTATGGTACTGTATGTATCCAGTGTCATGCAACAATAATATGTCAATAACAATAAAGTCATAAAGCTGAAAAATACATAAAATAAAAACATGTTTAAATTTTTTTTTTATGTTGTGCACATTGTAAATTTTGAAATCACAGTATGTTTTGGCAAATGTGAAACACCTAGTCAGAGTACAACACACAATAGCTGCAAGAAATGAATGTTTCACTAAGGGGATAAGACCTTTTTCTTCTTTTCGTTTAGTTTCATATGCTCAGATCAGACCATCAGGTAGGTTGCCTCTATGAACTCGCATCTCGTTAGCAGGTCCTTCATGGTTTCCCATAGCTTGCTTAAGATAACATACATGTGTTAATGTTAATATGAGGAGAAGTCAATAAGTCACAAATAGTTATTGGATGGCAGGAATATATAGTTGGTGGTTTCTAAAGATGTCATTAGGTGACAGCAACTTTGAACTTTTATGTCTGCGCATTCGCAGCACAGAAACAAAATCGCGACTGTACTTATGGTGTATCTTCAAAGAACATCATGCTGTTATGCGGTTTTTTTAAGGGGGGGGGGGGGGGGGCAAAAAAAGCTTTCTGCCAAGGACATTCATAAGGAAATGCCTCCTGTTTTTGCTGACAATTGTTTATCCCGTAAAGCGTGCATATCTGGGTAAAAAGATTTTTTCAAGGACGCTTTAAAATTGTTGATGAAGTCCGGTCTGCTCATCCTGTTGAGATTACAACAGATGCATTTGTGCAGAGGATGGAGGAGATAAGATGATTAGACGTGACAGGCAAAAAACGGTTGACTCTGTAGCAGCTGCAATAGTGTGCTCACATGGTTCAGCATACAACATAATGCATGATCGATTTAAATTTAAGAAAGTGTGGGTACCCAGACAATTGACGGACGAACACAAAATGAACCAATTAGGCCTGTCCTTGCAGCATCTCTGTTGATACTCAGATGGAGAAGAAGACATGCTGATTAAGATCTGGGGATGAATAATGGGTGCATCACTACCAGCCCGAATCAAAGCCTGCTTCAATGCAATGAAAATATCCTTCTTCGCCTTGTGCTAAAAAATTCAAGGTTACATCATCAGCAAAGAAGGTTATGCTGATAGTGTTCCAGAGGTGTATTGGGCATTTGCATAGATGACCTGACACTGTGTTATCTTGTCAGTATCACACCATCTGCCTTTACTTCCCAGGACATTTCCCAGTACCCCAGATCAATTTTAAAAATCTGTCTCAAATGGATTCTGACTTATAACCACCATGCCAGCTGTCTAAATCACTAGTCACTACACTACTGCAGCTCCCAAGACAGAGAAGTGGCATTTTGTTTTCCTTCATGGGAGGGGGGGAGGGGGGAGTGGGTTGAACCTCTTCAAAGACAAATTTGAATGTTTAATGTGCTCCACCCCAATCTTCAATAGCAGACCAAGAGTTCCAGTTCCGATGTACGCACACACACACATTGAATTTTTTTTTTTTAAATTAAAATTTAAAGATAAGTTTAATATCATTAACAGTTTTTGATACTAGAGGTTAGTTAAATTAATTAATCCTCATCTTTTTAGCGTTCACCAGCTATTAAACTGTGGCGAAAAGTTATTTTTGTTTGTCCACTTTTGAATTTTGGTCTTGTTACAGAGTTTTGTGAGCCCATCTGTTTTACAGATCTGGCTTATATATATATATATATATATATATATATATATGCAAACTGGTTGATTTTTTGCATGGTTGATTCCTCTCAGACAGATGCTCTTCGACTTGCAAGGAAACACCCCCTTGCCTTTTTCAACATGCTTGTTGGAGGGGTCTATTTTTCCCCAAAAAACTGGTCGCTGGAATTCATATGGGGAAAATCAGTTATAAATCAACATGTCATTTCTTCCTTGATACCCATAAGACCTAAAATACCAATGCATCACAAGCAGTAACTGAAATAAAATGCAACATCTACACATTGCTTTCAAGCCCAGAAGGCCTAATCATCAGGTTGTAGGCGTTATAATATTTTGATTAGGCTTCTTCTTTTGTCAATATCTGTATCAATGGTTACCTGTACCAGCAGACAATCCACATTCTTTGAGAATGCTGAAGAAAGTCATACCAACAAGATGTTGTGTGTTGTGGTATCTACTTCTTTTGGCCCAACACACCCAGTTTCACTAAACCCTTAATTAGTAATTTTTTTTACAACATTACTAAGGGGCACTGAAACTATTCTCCTAATCCACTAAATAAATGAGGCTCCAGGACCCATACAGAGAGCTGCTCGTTTTATAAAAAGATACCAAAGCAAACAAAAAGTTGAACCAGTAAGCTTCATGATATCACAAACAACAAGAGAACACTTTGGTTAGAGGATCTTTATCAGCATAGTACATAAATATACAACACCACAAATATGAACAAAAGGACCCTTTTCCACGCTTTCATGTGTATTGGGCATATAGGGCTAGACCTATATTTTGCATACAAATCGGCACTTGGTGGGTGATGTGGCCAACATCAAGCCTGCCTCCTTTACTCCCCAGACTGCACCTGCTACCTATTCAAGGTTGGTAGCTAAGGTCATTTACAAATGTGAACAAGAATACACAAAATCAGTAACTGAAGTGACAAATCCACTTGTCTGACCAGTTGAATCACCGACATATGCGTGACCACTGGAAATAAATATTAGCTAGGAAAAGCTGTGAACAAGGACCACTACTTAAAAAAAAAAAGTCGATAAAACAGTGTTGGACGTTCAAGTCTCCCAGGCGAAGTGGGGCCTAGCTGGTATATAGGCTAACAACTAAAGCCATGTACAAAATTGTGTTGAAAAGTCAAACAGTTGAAAGCTCACGAATACAGCCGTCATCTGCTAACAACTGTCGGTGCTTTCTTTTTAAATGACTACAAATGGGGTCACGGAACAGTCTAATATTTTAGAGGGTGGTAAGAGCGGGTTTTCTGTGCTTTAGCGCATTTCTTCCAAGGTCAAGGTTTTCACGTGTTAACCTGACCATAACCTTACCAAAACTATACGCTTAAACTATCACCAACTGAAATATTTGACTGTCCCATGACCTGTGGATTTCCTGTTTGTGGTAGGTTAATAAGAAAGTACCCAACTGTTTTTATAGGAACAGCCTGTACACATTTACATTGAAGAAATACTGCTTATTTCTAAGCTCCTCTGCAGAATTAAATGAAATGTTTCTTGTCATTGCAGAATATTTTCACCTCAAATATGAGGGGAAAACATAAGCACATACAAACATCTCTTACATAATAAAATTGCTAGCTTTAATTCAGGTGTTTAAGCACACACACCTCTGATATATGATACACATGCTGGCATCAATATATGCACAAACACACATACCTCTTATCCTGTCTCTACCAATATGTGCACAGACAGACACTTCATACATGACACAAATGCTGTTTCCACCGATATGTGCCCACACCTCATACATGATTACATATGCTGGCATCACCAATATATGCAAAAATACCTTTCTTATACAAGTGCTGTCTTCACCAATATGTGCCCACACGTCATACATGATTACATATGCTGGCATCACCAATATATGCACACACACACACACACATCTCTTATACAAATGCTATTTTCACACACCTCATACATGATACAAATGCTGGTTTCACCAATATGTGCACAGACACTCTGATACATGATATATATGCCTGCATCACCAATAAAAGCACACACACACACACACATCTCATACAGGATACACAAATATGTGCACATAAACACATGCGCACAAATACCTCTTACACATGATACAAATGATGGCATCAAACTGATTTTTATTTGAGTATATTAGGATGTTCCTCCCAAAATTTGCTACCGATGATGTCTGTGTATAGAACTATGCTACAAGATGTTTTGTCTTTCTTGGAACTTTCTGTGGCTATTTGGATAGCAGTAGTTTGTTTGTCTAGGTCTTTGGACTTTTTAACATTCTGAAAAGAAACAAGAGTTTAAATCAGCTAAAAACGTATTGAGATCACTTTTTATTTCTTTATACTCATGAGCCTAAATAAAATAAACACACCGTGCAGGCAGGCTAGTATGAGCATGATGCAGGCACACAAAAAGGTGCATATGCACAGGACATAAGAGACACCTTGGGTGGGAATGTGCATGAGGTGGAGAGCCAGTGTAGGAAGGAAGCGGGGCAGCCTCAATAAAATTGGGGGGAGGGGGGGGGGGGTCTAAGATGGCCCTAGAGCGAAAGGGGGTGGGGTGAGAGAGAGAGAGATAGAGAGAAAGAGAGAGCAAACACAAAGAAAACATTTTGATAAGCCGCTAGTACCCCTCAATGTTGTTTAACAGATCACATTCGCAGTGAATGCTTAATTTTTCAAAATATGTTTATATATATATATATATATATATATATATATATATATATATATATATATATATATATATATATATATATATATATAAATCAATGTTTGTGTGTTTGTTTGGTCTCTATAGACTCGGAAACTACTGAACCGATTTAGCTGAAATTTTCAGGATATGTTTGTTGTGATACCGGATTTTGAACCGTCGTGGTTTGAAATTCAACTTGTCACTGTTAGAGATAGGTGACCACAATTTATGCCAAAATATACGCAACTAATATTTATAACTTTAGTAATTTCTAATTATAGCCACGTTAGTAATTGCGCATGCGCCGTATTTACCATTCGCCGGCGAGTTACGTGCAGCCAACGCCTTCTCTAATACTAATACATAGAGTAGGTCGTGGTACAGCAAACAAGACTATCTCTATATTTGCCACAATAACCATATTAAACACGATTTCTATTTTCTGTTTTTTTTTCCCAAACAACCTTCGACGGGGGGGGGGGGGGGGGGGGGGGGGGGGGGGGGGGGGGGCAATCAAGGACTATCTCGACGTCGGTGCAGACATTGACTGCGTCATTAACTTCATTAGACAGGTGCGATTTCCATTGTCTTTCTTTTCTAAAAACCTTTGACGAGGGAGTGGGTACTAGGTGGATTTAGTTGTGGGGGGGGGGGTGGGATCAAAGACTATCTCAAATTACGCCACAGCAACGCGTGGCCGGGTACAGCTAGTATATATATATTTAAAAAAAGGGAATTATGTTATAAGCAAATAGATTCACCTTTCTCATTAATATTAATTAATGTGTTATTCTTTAGTTTTGTTTTAATATTCCCTTATTTTGACACTGAGTGGAAGAATGATCTGATCTGAACTTCTGAAACAACAGTTACTCACGACATGCATTTTTTAATAAGAAACAAAACATACAGACTTACAGTAAAATAAAGATCTCTTTTCACGCCTTAGGCGCATCGGGCATATGGGAAGAGCACCGATATTTTTTACAGACCACTAGGTAGCCGTCCGTTTGTCCTTACTTCTGCTGCCATCTGTCTTTACTTCCCCAGGATATACGTTTTGGTACCCATTTGAGACTGGGTCTACCTGTGACGCCCATTTCCATGACAAAGATCCACGCCAGTCTTACAAAAGTCAAAGTTTAGCTGTCCATTTGTATCCAGTATATTTCTGGAACATTTTAAAATCCATATTTATAGCTCTGCCAAAGAAACCAGGCACTCTAAAATGTGAAGACCATCGCACAATAAGTCTTATGAGTCACATGACTAAGATTTTACTGAGAATAATTATGAGAAGAATAAGAAACAAAATCAAACCAGAAATCAGCGATGAACAATGTGGATTTGTAGAAGGAAAAGGTATAAACAATGCCATGCTTCATAGACTCTACAAAAGCATTTGACTGTGTGAAGCATGAAGAAGTAATCAAACTGTTAAAAAAATTTAACATTGATGGGAAAGATCTACGAATAATAAAGAAAATGTATTGGCGGAAAACAGCAGCTATAAGAATAAACAACTGTTTAGGTACACTTCAAAGCATAAAGAGGGGCGTACGACAAGGATGTGTACTTTCACCTGATTTGTTTTCATTATACAGTGAATATATAATGAGATCTTTAATTGATACGCCCGGAATTGTGGTTGGTGGGCACAATATAAACAATTTACGTTATGCTGATGACACAATCTTGATAGCAACAAGTCAGAAAGAATTACACGAAATGATAGACATTGTGGTGTTAGCAAGTGGAAGAATGGGCCTCAATTTGAATAATGGGAAGACAGAAGAAATGGTGATATCAAAGAAACAAATTATTCCTAAATGTGTAATAAAAGTCAATGGTGTTATTTTAGGACAAGTACAGAAATTTAAGTATCTGGGCACATGGATAACATCAGATGGAAGATGCATAACTGAAATAAGAAACAATTGGACAGGCAAAAACTGCATTTTATAAAATGAAAAACATCTTGTGCAATATATCCTTGTCACATATGGATGTGAATCCTGGACAATCGGTAGACAGGCCAAACAATTTTTAGAGGCCTCAGAGATGTGGTTTTACAGACGAATGCTTAGAATACCTTGGACAGCCAAAAAAGAGCAACCAAGAAGTTTTGAAAGAGGCGGGAGCCCTAAGACAACCTATCACAGACATCAGAAGGAGACAGCTTAGAATACCTTGGACAGCCAAAAAAGAGCAACCAAGAGGTTTTGAAAGAGGCGGGAGCCCGAAGACAACTTATCACAGACATCAGAAGGAGACAGCCATCATTTTTCGGCCATGTTATTTGAAGAGGGAAAATAGAACATGTTGTGACCACTGGAAAGATCTGTGGAAGGAGGGATAGAGGAAGACAACAAGAGAAGATGCTTGACAGTCTTGTTGCATGGCATGGAGGTGTGTGGCACACGAACTAATACATGCTGCAGGAGATCGCAGATTATGGAGAGGCATGATCGCCCACGCCAGTCGGCAAGGCACCTGATGATGATGATATTTCTGGAAGTCCCAGGAATAATTTCTCAGAGCCAAGAGCCTTTTCACTTTTTATGCCAAGATATTCAGTATCCCTCCAGTATTTGAATACGTATGGTCATAGTCTTCCCTGTGGCTACATACGGATGTGAGTCATGGACTATCTCTCAGTCCTTAAGAAAGGGAATAGGGGCTTTTGAGCTGAAATGCTATAGAAAGATTCTTAGAATATCTTGGACAAAGAAGAGGAGAAATACTGACATCTTGAAAGATCTGAACATCAAGGAAGATTGGCTAATAAACAGCATCCTGTCTCTAAAGCTGAAATATTTTGGTAATATCAAGCGCCACGAAGAATTGGAAAAAATTATAGCAGAGGGCATGGTACCAGGAAGGAGGGGTAGGGGCCGACCAACACGAAGGTGGGCACAGGATATAAGTGACTCCCTGAGTATGAAACTACATGAGGCGGGAAAACTGGCGAGAGACAGTTTCTTTCAGGCAGACTGTGATGAGAGCGACGTTCTGCAAAGGACCTGCTACATGATGATGATGAGTGTCATAGAGGGTTTGAGTAAAAAAGTTACCCACAAAAATTGAGTGAGTGAATCTATATTACAAGTCATAATTGCAGCACAAAGACACACTCAGCATTGGTATGTAAAGATTGCACCAACTTCAAGCAGAGGCAGTATCCCTTCGTTTATATGAGCAGACACCAAATAGTAAACAAGCTGTCACTTTCACATATTCAAAATGCCATCTAATGCTCTAAACAGGGCTGCATCATCTATGAAAGGTAAAAATAAAAACCATCCACCTTCCACAACACACATCTACATAGAATTGTCAAAATTTTCCGGCCAGATACAATCTCATACACTAAACTACTTCAAGTCACAAACCAAGAAACTCTAGACAGTATGATAACCAAGAGAAGATGGAAATGGCTTGGCCACGTTATGAGAATGAATCCTGATATGCCTGCCAAAACAGCTCTCATGTGGATACCAAAGGGAAAGAGAGAAAAGGGGCGCCCAAAAACAACATGGAGACAAACGATGGAGAGTGACCTGAATGCGGCATCTCTGACATAGAAAACTGCACTGAAGATTGCACAGAATAGCGGAGCCTGGAAAGTCCTGTCTGAAGCCTCATGTGCCACTAGGCATAAAGAGAATTGATGATGATGAAAAATAAAAATCACTAGAATGCTGTCCATGAGTAGAACTAGTCGTGAATTCCAGCCGACTATGGATCCCTAGCAATGGAAAGGCAGGGAAGCTTGAGAAGACTGCAGGAAACCCCATCTGCCTCAAAGGCACTCTCAAAACAATTAATGACGTTGAACTGGGGAGAAGACCATAACAATTACAAACCACAGCATGTTGTTAGACATGGAAAGAAAGACAACGCAAAACAGAAATATCATTATTTCATTCTGTCTGTTCAATTACAGAAGGTGTATTTACGTGCAAGGAATAGACTCAAGAACTAAATGGACACTGGCAAGATTGATAGAAATAGGACAAGAGAAAAAGTGATAAATACCTTGATGGCTTGGCCACGTGCAAGGGGACAGTTCAGGAGCAACACCCGATTCAATATTCTGCTGCTCGTGTGGGTTGGTGAAAGGTGACCGCATTTGATTTTCGGCGTGACATATGATGATATTTCCATTGGTTGGGGTGGGGGGTTGTGGGACGGTGGGACAACTAAGTTTGGGAAACACTGAGCTAAATAATGATGATGAGGATGATGGGTCTATTCTTTCCCCTAATAACGGCAAGATCCTGTAACCAACAGCAAGGGCAAGTATTAATTTCTAACTTACCGTATTCCGAATAATAACTGTTCCTTTCCTGTAAAGTTCTGGCAGGCTATTATAGTTTATGTTAAACTCTTTGAATAAAAGTTCATTCTTGTGGTCAGAAAATGTGTTCTGCAAAGGAATAAATAGGAATTGTTACAATAACGGAAATTTACCAGCCTAGCACCAAGTGGTCTATGAAATATAGTTCTGCCACAATATGCCCAATACGCTTAATGGCATGGAAAAGGTTCATTTAATATACTGATTTAACATTAGGGATAAATATTCTAAGTGTGTGGTCTATCATTTGTAAACAGATGTTCCTCTATGCCATGATGTAAACAGCTTATATCTCTCTTGTTCTTCCCTGCCTCTTTTCCTTTCCAAGTTACTTCAGTTCTCCCCTTCTCGTGATATGCTCAAAGAATGGAGACTGTCTTCAAACATGTCATGATTATAAAAGACAAAGTATGCTAAGAAAGCTGGAGACAGGCATGTTCCATGCAGAGTGGCAAGCACTGCTCAAGATATCTTGGGTAGTTAGCATTCTTTTCATATTTTCTGCAGCTGCGTTGGGAAATCAACAGGCAGGCAAATTGGCTGTACTGCATTACTAAGTGGTATACTGACTGATGACAAGCTAGGTGTGGTCATGGTATCTGGCAGCAAACAAACAATGCTGAAGAAAGAATAGATCGTTACGGTGTGGTGAGAATGGTGCAGTGGGTAGTGAGCAGGGGATCTGGCTGACACGCAACACTCAGAGGGAAGGCTAGACTGACATAAAATCAGACTGTAACGACACCATCAGCATTGGGATTCTGCGCTGGCTGCTGAAGATCTTCACATTCACCGGCTGTAAACCCAGGCGAAAAGTTCTGGGTGTTTGTGAAGAACCTGAGTGTCACATGCACATCTGTTTCACATATCTGGCTTATTTGTATGCAGACTTGTGGTTCCTTTTTTTTTCCAGGCAGATGTACTCAGACTTCAAAGGATGTCCCTAATTAGTCGACTCCTACGACATGCTTGTTGGGAAGGCAATGGGTCTATTCTTGTTTTCCCCACAATGGGGTCCCGGAACCCACACGGGAAGCTGCTGAAGATGTTGAATGTAGAATTGGCACTGCCATTTGCGCTCCGTCCCCGTCTTCAGCAGCAAGCAAAGAGTTCTAATTCCGATGGTACCAGTAAATTGTCAGATTGTACATCCATCTTGCCGTTTTAGTGAGTGTTGAGTGTCGGCCAAAACCCCTGGTAACTTCCCGAAGTGACATTCTCCTCAGACGTAACCTCAGATCTATTTCGCATTGTTCACTCGCTGACAGTATCTAGCTTGTCATACATCAATTCACCACCAAGTGATGCAGAGCTGGCAAATCTATCTGCCTGCCAATTTCCTAACACACCAGCATGACATGCAGAAAATATCTATCCAAAGGACCCTGCTGAAATTGGGGATGCACAGCTTATGGAAATGTTCCAAGTGCTTGGATGTTAGTTCATAACTCAAATCAAGTGCCTTATTTTTGTAGACAACCTATTCTCTCTGTGAGTTCATTTCTTTCAAGACATCATCACTAAACAGTTCTAGACTCTACATTCTCTTTCTTTCATATTTAGCTTCCATCAATGGTATGTGTCCAAAGAAATCCCCCCATCTCATTGGGCGCAAGATTTCCCATAGGCTGTCATTTGTTCTAGAGGTGTCATTTTTTCCCCCCAACACTATAGGCATTCTATATTCCACACTGTGAGCGGCCAGCACTTTCTATTTTCTACGCTGTGAGTGGCCGGTAATGTGTGTTACTTGCGTCACACATTTGTTCTTCATCACTATCACTGCGGTATTCCTTTGTGACTTCCCTCAGGGCCCGACCCAAAATGTTACCAATTATCAAACTAGTGACGGTTGGATAAGAGACCCAGTTGACCGAGGAAAGAAAACTAGTTGAACACTCGCTCTCACACACACAAAACAGTTGCTTAATGTTGCCTGCCGCAAAAGAGAGCTCTACACTTTCCTGCCAGGCCTCAAACGAATGGTAGCCACTTTTCAGTGTGTATATACGCGAAAAAGGGCATATCCTACCACCCCTACACCATAGGACAGATCATGGAAACCGCTACAGCATGAATGGAAGCTGGCACCAACAACTTTCAGTACTTACATTGAGTGAATCCCCTGCCTCACGTGGAGAAAGTCCCTTCTCTTGGACCAGTTTCCAAAAGCATGTGTTGTACAAGTTGTTAATGTGACCTTTGTAACAAACAACAATAAAATTTCAGAACTACCGAACATTCAGTTTAATGATAAATGTGTGATCTTAATAACAAATACAAATTAACAGTTTGTAATACTGAAAAACAAAATCAAGTAGTCTGCAATTAATATTTTGACTAGAAATGATGTTAAGGAAAAACAAAGCTGAGAAAGGAAAAGCAATAATAACAAATCCCTGCTACCCAACTTTCAACTATGGCTGATGACAATTAGATGGTTGAAGTTACAATTTTATACAAACAAATAATGGATTATACAGTGGTTTTAGTACCAGAGGAAAAGTCTCATCTGTGTAGGGTTTTGATCACACTGGGACTGGAGTGCAGAGAGTGGCAAGCGGGTGCTACGAAGGTGGAAGTCCAACAGTTGATTCATGACAATTCTTGTCCAGATGATCTGACTATCTATACAGAAGGTTCAGTTTTGAGAGGGAAGAGAAGTACCTGGGGGGTTTGTAGCAAAAACCTAATGGACATCATTTTAGTGCAGGACAGCCTAGCAAATGATACCACAACATCTAGCATGAGAATGGAGGTTGAGGTGGTAACTGCAGCTTTCCCGTGGCTAGAGAACAAGATGCATACACATGTCATAATTGTAACAGACTCTGAAAGCATGCTGAGAAAGGTGAAGACAGGAATGCTTTGGGCAAAGTGGCAAGCTTCACTGGGAAGGTCACAGGTAGTGAACATACTTTGGGTCTTTTCTCCAGGCTATACCAGTGTGGTGGGGAATGAACAGGCAGACAGATTGGCTGGATCTGCACCACTGGGTGGTGAAGTGATACATGACAAGGCAGACGTGGTCAGGGCCTTTGGAAACAAGTAATGGAGTCAGAAGCGAAACAAGATTATTATTTATGGTGGGAGAGAATGAGGCACCTGGGTGTAACCAGGGGGTCTGGCCGGCTCATTAGACTCAAGGGAAAGGCAAGACGGACATACGACCGGTACCAGTACTGGAACTCTGCACTGGCTGCTGAAGGAAGATAAGGAGGGAGCAATTCTTCACTCAACTCAACAGTGCTAAACCAGAAATCTGAAAGTTATTACTTAGATAATAAGAAATTACGACTAGGCTGTTATTTAAAAAAAAAAAAAAAAAATTCAGAAAAGAAAAAAAAGTTCATTTCTTTAAAAAACAGAAGACTAGTTAATGGACAATGAGTAATCTCTTCCATCCACTCTCCACAACTCACAATCTACTTGTCTCCAGCTAAGATAATCCTTCAAAGTCTCATCAGTGGGATACAGGACCACTCTTGAATCAAAGCTTGGAGGGTATTGCAGCTCCTGCGTATCAAAGAACTCAGGCCAGTACAGAACAAAGGAAGAGGCAAACAAGCTCACAACATTGCTCATCAGCTTGCTGCAGAAGGGAACAATGTTATAAGTGAACATTTGCTATGAATGCATAAAAGATCAGAAATTGCAATACAGATTATTCTTCTTCAGTATTTCTATGACTGCACTCCTTCCAACAGGTGACTCCAACTGGTTTGTAGGTTGGCCTGTAAATTATCTTTCACTTGTCTTCTTGGTCTGCCTTGTGGTCTACTCCCATTAAACTTTTTTTTCCTGGGTACAGTTTTTTTCCTCTGTTGTCTGCCATTGTCTATATATATCTTGATCACTGCATTCTATTAGCCCTCATGTAGCCAGTAATTAGTGATGATTTAAACACATGAATTTCACTACTGCTTCTAAAATAGTGGCTGGAAAATCAAGTCTCAAATTGTTCATAAAAATCCTCAGAGTGGATAGTTTGGTCCCATATGCCAGTACACTGCTCTAGCTTACCAAAATAATTACAATCAGGTACTGAAATCGGAGGCAACCAGCCAGGAGGCCCACCAGAAAAATCAGGATACCAGGCGCAAACGCTATAAGAAATATATCTATATCTGCAACCAGGAGATACTAGAGACAACACTGCAGAAATAGTTAATCTATCACTGTCGAAACCAAAGCAAGGCGCATGGCCCGCAGCAGGGATTGAACCCGGTATCCAGGCATTACAAAGCGTTCACATAATAAAATAAAGGGAGACTAAATCACAGGGGCCAATGAAATAAAGCGAGACTAAATCACAGGGTTCAATGAAAAAAAGGAAGACTAAAGCACACCAAGGAGTAAATTAGAGACTGAGATTAATAAGATGGGAAGGATATAGGATGAACTGTACACACAATGGCAACAGATGACATAAGTTAGTTGAGGGACCATGTTTCATTAGGGAATAAAAGGGTACTTATATTAATTTCTTCTTAGCCTGAAAACAATGGCAGCCATGGTAGCACAGTGAATAGGCACTTACCTGCCAGTCCAAACATCTTAGGTTCAAATCCACATCAAGGAGGATTTTTTTTAAACTGTAGTTGGCTCCCAGGTTCACCTAGCCTAAATTAATACTGTTATAACCTGGGAAGTAAAGATGGCTGGCATGATAAGCACATCACTCACTAAGTATCGACTGGTATATACAAATCCAGATGTTAGTCTTTCCTCTTGTGCCTAAGGCAGCATATAGGGCAGAGGTCATAGCTCTGCATGTCTGGTGGTTCAGTGCCACCTGATTTAGGTCTTGGATATTCATTAGGCCCATAGTTGAGCCTTCCCTGATGATGGTTCTACGTAGAGTCTCTTGGTCTTCCCCATTTATTTCCCTTCCATATGAGGGCTTGATGGGGGAGTCCTGTCTTATCCATTCTGAGTGCATAGCTGATGTAATTTCAGCGGCACTTTCTTATAAAATTTGATACATTTTCTTGCTTGGTCTCTTGCATTTTTTTGCGTACTGAATGTGAAATCTATCCCAAAAAAATCTAGATGAGTTCAGTATTATAAGCCCTACAGGCCAAAATCATGAACAGGGTCCTTTGCTTTACTGTTACTGAGAAAATACTATCAGATATGTTTACCTGGCTCGCCTGTTGTAGATCTTACAATTCTTGTGAAAAACAAAGCTGAATTCATCACTCTGACCATATGCCAGAACAATGTCAGTGAAATCCGCCATGACCATCTGAGCTGCCCTTGTCATCAGACCTAGTCCTCGATCATCATTAGGCTTCAAGTAACTATGGGCATCTGTGAATCTATTCACAAATAAACAGAATAAATTATCAAAATGGACTATTATCTTATCGCTGCACAAAAGACATGTACATAGGTTCTCAGAAATGTGAGTGGTCTAATTTATCTTCACTCCAGTTAGGCATTTGTTCATCAATCTATTTCTGGCACTATTGTTTTAACAGTATGCCATACCAAGTCTTTAAATCTGGCAGCTCCCTGTTTGACCTCGATCTTCAACATTCTAACCAAGGCCATTGTTAGTTTAGCTTAGCCTTCTTCTTTTTACCAATAGCTTATGCATAAAGCGTCAGAAAGAGGAGTTACAAGTAGTTTCCTGTCTTTTCTAAGTTGTCTGGCATGTGTTAATGTCATACTGTATTTCTGTAGTATCTCTTTTACTCCCTCCAAACACCTATTTCTTGGTCTGCCTCTTGACTTATAACCGGCTGTTTTCATGCAGTACACCCTAACTGCTGGCTGATTTTGTTCCACTCTGACCAAATGACAAAACCATTTGATTATCCAATGTTCTATGAAATAATTTACCAGTAGTGAGCATTCAATTTTTCTGCATCAATTTCTTATACATCTCACCTCAAATGTTATAATTTTGCATTTATGTTCTTCTAGAACTCTACATGACTGTCACTAAGTACATGAGAACTAGAACAGCACTTATGATATCTGCTCAGTCCACTGAGGGACCTTCCATAACACTCACAGAAACAGCAAAAGTCAGTACTGAGAAGGAGGATATTTACATATTTTATTGTTCACGTCAATAGTCTCATTTTTCTTCTAGGTTAATCAAGACATATTTTCGTTTGCTGTTGTGATTATGTAACTCTGCTGTCATATCATCTAGGCATTTTCTTTAAATTTCACAAAAAATTCACACTATTACCTTTTTTCCTCACCAAACTATATATATGGTGAATTATGGTCATATTAAATAACCTTAGATAATGTCTTGATGTTTCTATCAATTTCATCAGGTATCATTTACATATACACAAATACAAAATAACTTGTGGCTTATTAAAATTGAGCATGCCATGTTTGTTTGTTTTTGTATTTGTTGTGGTACTGAAGCTACTGGCTATTCTATATTTACAATTATGCTAGCAGATGTAACCATATCATGATTCAGTTAAGCACAAAAGGACTGGCTGAGATTATGGTTATTCCTATGATAGTAATGTTTCTTAATATCAAAAGACTCCAACCAAATGCACAGAGACAGAAAAACTAACACAATGACATCAAACTAGCTGAGACCCAGTGCTAAAAAAATGTTCCCCCATCTATTGGAATAAGAAAACAGACAATGCTCACTTGCGGAAGGCTTTGCCATCAATACGGACTACAATCCAGCAACCAAGCAGACAACGGTCTTCGATTTCATAATTCTTGACATATTCATATCTGCTCAGCGCCATTTTCAAAAGCAACAAATTCTGAAACAAAGAACAGGTAGTTAATTTTACAAAACAAAGTGTAAAAAAATATCCTTTGAAAAGTGTTCCCACAGACTGTCATTGGAATATAGTGCTAGCTCCATATTTCTGGTGACTAAATAGCACATTTAAACAACATCATCATGGTCCCACAACACTGTGTCGTTGAGTCACCGGTTGCTGTTGACTGTTGGGTCAGCTCCCTCCACCAGTCAAATACAATGGACTTGTATGTCTGTCTGCATGTTTGAGGCCTGTCAATTCAGCCAAAGTCGGCATCCAGTCTTTCTTGGTCCGCATCTACTCCTCTACAGAGGTTAGTTTGTTGTGTATCCTTTACAGGACGTTGCAGAACCAACCCCATCAGCCCCTGGCTGTTGTGTGGTTTCACTAGGCAAATTTACATCCAATAGTTTGCCACTGCTTTCTGGACAGTCAGCTTCCTGATACCACTGTCAAAACCAACGCAAGGCGCATGGCCCACAGCTAGGATCGAACCAGGTACCCCGGCATTATGAAGCTTTCGCATCGACTTAGCCACAGAGCCGACCCTCTACAGAAACTAAGCCATAATATGCCTTTTTAAACTTACTGTTTCAACAAATTAAAATAAAACTTTGCATGTAATGATCCCTGTGGAAAAGTAAAAATATTAAAAATACTAATTAGCAGCCACTGTGAATTAAAACAAAATTAGAACATGTTTTTATTTAAACTAGACCACAACATTTGTATTTGCTGCATCACTTGACAAATAAATAGATAAATACTGTACTGTTTCAACACTGATAAATGTTTTGCACCAAAGTAATAGACTGATTAAAAGACTGCACCAGATAGAATTGCATCAGAATGGAATGGAAGGATTGACTGCAAGCCTGAGGTGACATAAAAAAAATTAAAAGAGCGAAAAAGTATGAAAATCTTTAACAAATTTATTTAGTTATGATTATAATAATAATATCTAGAAGGCACCACGAATAATAATATGCTGATACTGTAAAGCATCTGCAAAGTTCTTTATTCAATTAGGCCTCACTGTTTCTGAAATGAAAATATATGGTGGTTAAACAGAAGTTTGGGCTATCACCCGAATAATGGCCACATATTATGGCGACCCCCCTAAAAATGCCCTGACAGGGCCTCAATCACATGTAAATTGGGGACTTCTTTCCGGCGAATATACCACAGGAAAAGTAGGATAAATTTCCGGGGTTGATGTCACTAAACGCAACAAAACATGCGGTACAAGTGGGATAAATTTCCGGCCATGATGTCGCGAAACCCAACAAACCACCGAGTTAAACTCGCTGCCGAGAGTTTCCCCCACGCCGCTATGTGGGTTGCTAAACTAGATGGCTGGGACTCTCGAGCAGCAGCTACCGCGTCTCGTGTAGCTTCCTCATTTTATTTGCTTGTGAGTCCTAGCCATCTAGTTTGGCCTCCCTCCGCTCCATATGGGCTATCCTCCGAATAACAGCCATATATTATGATTTTCGGGCACTATTTGCAACTTCTGTGCCACAATTTTCAGATATAAAGGGGTTAATTATCAGTAAGTAGTCGATTACCTTTTCCCTTATTTGTCTTTCCTTTTTATTTTTGAATTCAAGTTTTTGAATGTTTACAACACATGACCTAATAAGGCCCTATCAGGGTGTCTTTTTGGCCGCCATAATATGTGGCCATTATTCGGAGGATAGCCGAAGTTTGGGTCTGAAGGAATTATTTGGTACTTTTTAAAAAAATTTACCCTAAACAAAGGAAATCCTAGAGTTTCCGGGAAAGTCCAATAGTTTGGGAGGTGCTACGGGTTTTATTAAAGGTTAACGGTTAACCCCCAACCACCTCAGAAACACCTACACTAACCCTACCCCTAACCCTCAACCGATAACACCTATAGAATGTTGGACTTTTCCGGGAACTCCAGGATGTCATTTCTTTGGGGTAGATTAAGAATAAAGTTTCAATTATTCACAAAGAAGCAACAACAACAAAATAGTTAATTTAACAACTTTTTATTATAACTGGTCTATGATCAGTGTCTTCTATGTTCGAGTTTGGTTTTTTCATGATTATAAAAATATATATGTGAATTTATTTACCAGCGGTGTTTTCATAAGCTGCAAGAATTTATAGAAACTTTCAGTTCTTCTTCTTCTTCTTCATTTACGGGATGTAAACTCTGGCGAAAAGTTCTGGTTGTTTGTCCACTTCTGGACTTTAGTCCTGTTGCAGAACCTGAGTTGTTGCGTGTACATCCGTTTCAAAGGTTTGACTCATTTGTGTGCAGACTGCTGGTTCCTTGACTCTCAGGCAGATGTACTCCGACTTCAGAAGAAGCTCCCAATAAGTCGACTCTTACGACATACTTTAGGGCAGGCAGTGGCCACGGAGCCCACACGGGGTGAAACTTTCAGTGAACGATTTAACCCTCTTAGCACGGACGGCCCGATTATCGGCCGTCTGGCCAAAAACACAGAACGGCCAATTGTGTTTCGCCTCGACACCAAAAGAAATCTATTTTGAAAACTGAAAGTGATTCTTTTATATTCACTGCTGTATTAGTTTTACACATGGTGACTTTCTAGTGTTTGGTATCAAATTTTTTAGTTAGTGACCTGAACCGCTAAAAGTATGTCTGACTCGTATGTTTCTGCCCCTAAACTTGATGTTGATGAAACATTTGAATCAAGTGATGACACTAATTCTATTGATACTGATTCAGGATCTAGTGTTAGTAGTAATAGTTACTAATAGTGGGGAATCAGATGGGGACGCTGATCAGACCACAGCTCAACCATGGCTCAGGTTATATCCACCCGAAGATGTTGACACTCCGGAACACATGCATTTCTTGTGCTGACTGGTCAAAAACCCATGTCACCTAAAGATAATATTGCTGTGTTCATATATATATATATATATATATATATATATATATATATATATATATATATATATATATATATATATATATATATATATATATATATATATATATATATATATATATATATATATATATATATACACCTGTTTTTTTACTGTTAAATTACTTACAACATTTGTAAAAAGGCCAAAAATCAATAAAAAGATTTCAAATAAAATGTATTTTTGTTTTTAGTTATGTTTCATGCATTGAAGTTGAAAATTCATATTCTAATTTTCTATTTTTAGATATGCAAATGAGATAATTTGCATATACATCAATTAATTTTAACGATATTGTGAAAATCATGAAATCTGGCTCTCCTCCGAACTTCTACCCCTGCATTATGGCGGCCTGAAATATCCGTTCGGGATCAGTCCAATGAAAAATGCGGACTTTGTGACAAGGAACAAATTGCCGCAAAACTAGGATTACTTGACAATTTCAAGAGACGCAACATTGCAGACGATAGTAGCAGACGATAAAAGCAACCGGTGACAATGTCGAGCGTTTCTGCAGACGATACTAGCAGACGATAAAAGCGACCGTTGACAATTTCGAGACATTACAGACGATGAAAGCGATATGGCCGGTAGACCACGCGCTCCCACGCAGATTAGCAATACTGTTCTTCCGATTGAGGATTTAGCAGCGGTAGATGTCAGACTTGGCATGCTAAAAACGCGATTAAACTCACTGTTGAGCATATCCCACGCGCCGCTACGCGCGGTGTGGATGGGGAAGGGGGGGGCTAAACTAGGTGCCTGGGACTCACGAGCAAAGTAACCGGAGGAAGTTGCAAGAGATGTGGTAGCTGCTGCTCATGAGTCCCAGCCATCTAGTTTAGACCCTATCCGCGTCGCGGGGGGTACGGTCGGCGGTGAGGCATAGTCACAGAAACAGGTCTGCAAATAACATATCGCTGAGACCCTGTTAGAGCATTTGTTTTGTTTTTCCGAGCCGATCCTAGATTTGCTGCAATTTGTTCGTCGGCAGAAAGTCCGACAAGTCCCCATTTTACATATTTGTCTGTCAACAGAAAGTCCGACAATGGAAAGTGTCAACGGTCGCTATTATTGTCTGCAGTGTTGCATCTCTAAGAATTGTCAGGTAATCAGAAACAATAAGAAACAGGTCTGCAAGTAACATATCGCTGAGACCCTGTTAGAGCATTTGTTTCGTTATACTGAGCCGGCATATTTTCAATAGAACTGAGCTCTGAAAGGATATTTCAGGTCGCCATAATGCGGGGGTAGAAGTTCGGAGGAGAGTCATAAATCTATTATTTCATGGGGGTCAGAATAACAAAAATGTGTCAAAAAAATAAAATAAAGTTATAACCAAATTTACCGAAAAAATGCTCAGTGTTTTTGGCTAGACATCTGAAAAACTTCTAGTGTTAAAAGGGTTAGTTTACAGAATTTACTCAACACTGCTCAACTACTATAGCCACTACTTTAATTAAATTTCGGTACCTGTCTATGGTGTCTTTAAAAAAAAAAAGAGTCTTTTTAGTTACTAAGTTTCAGTTAGGACTTAAGTCAGTCTCAGGGTTTGCATCATTTCTTCTCAGCAAGGAAGGGTTAGGGACAGCCACATCACATCCACGTTTTTAAATCACGGTAGTGTCCTGTCTACTTTTCTTCCACTTCCACTGCTGCAAGTAATTAAAAATAATTTGTAAATTACGGTTACACCTAACATACTTGACTGCACCCCAGGTACCCCCACGGGTGTAGTATCCCACCAGACAAGGGCGATGAGCACGATTCCCAACTTCTTCAGCGATGCCGACAATGTTGATTATTGACAGTGTTTATTTTCAAACGTGACGCAACAGGGGCCGTAACTTCTGCTTGGCCAGGCAGCCGACGACAAACAGGAGGATGCCAGTTGGTCATGAACACATTACAGTAAAACGTCGTTAACACGAATTCTGTCTCATGAAAAGTAGAAGTATCACAAGACAAATATTTAACATCAATGATAGAAAAGCGTTTAAAATTTCAACGCGACTTATGCCACCACTTCATTGACTTCACGAAGGCAT